ATCATTGTCAGAGATGTAGCCAACGATCACATGACTCTGTGTCCTATCATTGTCAGAGATGTAGCCAACGATCACATGACTCTGTGTCCGATCATTGTTAGAGATGTAGACAATGATCACATGACTCTGTTTCCGATTATTGTCAGAGATATTTTCATGGTTCTGTGTTTATTATTGTGCAGCATGATCATAAATTGTTTCTTTTTCCTTTTCAGGCAATGAAAATTTTATCAAAAAAGCGGCTGATGAAAAAGGCTGGTTTCTGTCGTAAGTATAAGAATGGTTATTTAAAAGTAGAAAAAAATTAAAGAATTATCAATTTAAGATGTATGAAATTTAAAAATGGGTGATTAATTGATTTTTTTTAACAAGGGCGACCCCCTGCTAGAGATGGTAAACCTGTGACTCACCCACCGAACCCGCTGGAGAGAGTGTACAGGGAAATCGCCATCCTTAAAAAGCTTGATCACCCAAACATTGTCCGATTGATTGAGGTTTTGGATGATCCAGAGGAGGATAATTTATACATGGGTGAGTTATATATATAATTATAATAGCTCTTTTGAAAATATTGTATAAAAAATTTCTTGTAATAATTTTTTTCAACAATGTCAAAAATAAATAATTGGATTGTGTATACTTTTAATTAGACACAGAGTTTTAAAAATGGATAATGCTTTGATGCATATTCTGAAGTTTTTGTTATTTTTGAACAAACTCAATTGTTAGTGATAAAGGAACAAATAATTATAAAAAAAACAATAATCATAAACAAATAAACAAACAAAGGATTATAAACAATACATTCTGAGTCACATATATGTATTAAGAGAGAAAAATCAGCTATCAGAACATTTTTTACATTACAATTTTCTAATTTTCAGTATTTGAGCTGCTGGAAAAAGGGTAAGTTATATGACATTTAATTTTTGTGGTGTAATAAAACCTAGAGCTATCCAAGGCTTTAAAAAAAAAATCAGTACATGTAGTATGTTTTGATAAGAATAAAAAGAAAACATTCAGAATAAACATGCAAATTTTATAGATTTATTTTTGGAAAAGTCCTTTTATTTCAAGCTTTTCTTATGTAATCAGAACCTTTTCGGTAATAATTCGTCAATAACCTCGATGATAAGTGAATTTGTGTTTTCTTTCTTTAGAGAGGTGCTTGAAGTGCCGACTCCCACCCCGCTATCGGAGGACATGGCCTGGAAGTACTTCAGAGACATTATCGTCGGCATAGAATACTGTAGGTCTATACAAAATTTAACATTGACCCAACTTTTTAAAAATTATCATACAGTCGAAAGCAAAACACATTACATAGAGTGAAAATAGTTTCATCCGGACTTCTATATTCAAATATATCACACATCCTCACAATGTACTTTTGCTAAGTAGTTAAATTATTTTGAACTTTATTTTTTCATTTTCATTACACATAACCCATAGGTTTGTGTCCTTATGATGTTTAAGAAGAAAGCATAGTTTTATTTGAGAAAGATAATGGCTTTTTACAGCTAGCTAGTCATGTGTATGCACAAATTCTCTGTACATTTGGTGACTGAATTGATATTTTCAATTTTTTTAAATAATTTTTTGCAAAATATTATTTTCAGTGCATTACCAGAAGATTATTCACAGGGATATCAAACCTTCAAATCTGCTGCTGGGCGATGATGGCCACGTCAAGGTTAGTGCTGAAATGTATAAACAACACGAAATATATCCCATTACTCTGTAGCTCGGGGCTCCGTAGCCTATAGCCCTGGCAATCCTTGGCATCCGAATTGCAGTCAAAACAAAGAAAAGGTTAAAATCATGAGTAAAGCAGAGTCTAGTAGAGTTATCTATTTACCTCTCTCCGGGCAAAAGTGGCTGGATTTTGAGACAGATTTCTGTGACAATTTGGTAAAAAAATGGGTCAAGGCAGTAAAGAATCAAATGTGACTTTACTGACACTTAACTTTACTGACACCAAACATAACTGACACTTTACTTTACTGACACTTAACTTTACTGACACTTAACTTTACTGACACTTTACTTTACTGACACTTAACTTTACTGACACTTTACTTTACTGACACTTAACTTTACTGACACTTAACTTTACTGACACCAAACATAACTGACACTTAATTTTACTATACAGTTAAAGTATGTGGTTGTGGGATATAGCAAGTTTCTGGTGAGGCAAAGCCGAGGGAAATAGGCATGGTCAAGGGACACCAGAAACTTGCTATATCCCTCAACCCCATACTTTAACCATTTTATTATACTGATACACACTGGAGAGATAGTTTTAACTAGAAAATATTTGTAAACCATAAGCTGTATAGCTTCACGTCCCACTACCCCTTTGATGGCAATGGAGCCAAATGCTTCCGAGTTTGGTAGCAAGCTCCGTCCACCTCGCGAGTTGTTTCCAAGTTCGGTAACAAGCTCCGCCCACCTCTCGTCTGATTGGCTCGGCGGAAACACCCAAGTGTAGGTGTGTTTTAGTTCCCAGACTAACACACAGGACTAAAACAAAGTCAGGCAAAAGTGGGGACATATTCGATTTAACCAATTACTTTTATATAGAGTAAATAAAGAAGAGGTATAATAATGACACCCAACTCAACCAACACTTTACTTTACTGACACCAAAATTTAACAAAATTCTGTGATAGATATCTTAATATGGTGTGCCACAAATGACTGTTTTCTCTGTTTTAACCCTGACTTTACCAACCCCTGACTTTACCAACACCTGCCTTTACCAACAACTGACTTAACAAACACTGGACTTTACCAACACCTGACTTTAATGATACCTGCCTTTACCAACACCTGTCTTTACCAACACATGACTTTACCAACACCTGGCTTTACCAACACCTGTCTTTACCAACACCTGCATTTATCAACACCTGACTTTACCAACACCTGATCTTACCAACACCTGACTTTACCAACAACTGACTTAACAAATACCTGACTTTGATGTCACCTGCCTTTACCAACACCTGACTTTAATGACACCTGATTTTACCAACACCTGATTTTACCAACACCTGACTTCAGTGACAGTCTGTCATATCTATCATAGTATCACAGGGCCCAGATGACAATTTTTACCCTGACTATTCTGACACACCGTCTTGTTGGACCATGTCATACAGTGTCTCTTGTTGTCGGTAAAGATAGGTGTCCCTGTACCACTAATATCACATTACATCACATACAACGTTGATTCTATTATTCAGATTGCTGACTTCGGAGTGAGTAACGAGTTTACTGGGACAGACATATCTCTCACTAGCACTGCTGGTACCCCTGCCTTCTCTGCTCCAGAGACGCTCAAAGGTATGCTGGATTTATAGAATCTGTCTTGTGTAATGTAGACAGAGAAATCTCAACCCAAGTGTAACAGTTATGAGAATTAGCAAGAGGCTTTATGAAATTCAAAAATGTTTTCCCTAGGATTTCAATTTTCTGTGCACATCACACAAGAGTGGTTGGTTATTTGTGTCCTACACTTTCTTATCCTAAAATATACAAGACATCATGGTGAACCCTATACCCTGTGTCATCATCAACAGCACAATAAACAATAAATAATGTAATTGATGACAAAATGTTATTGTAATATGGTTATAAAGCTAAAAAGGAAAGATATATAGTTTCCTATCAGGAGTTTCAGAGTTGGAAGGTTTTGTAAAAAAGGTGAATGTGAACTGTCTTTCACTTTGTACGTTAATGTCTTTTAGTCTTTTCCAACCTTAGTGTTGAACTAATACTAATAGGACCTTTCCCTACCGTGAGGGTAGGACTAATAGGACCTTTCCCTTCCTTGAGTGTAGGACTAATAGGACCTTTCCCTTCCTTGAGGGTAGGACTAATAGGACCTTTCCCTACCGTGAGGGTAAGACTAATAGGACCTTTCCCTTCCTTGAGGGTTAGACATATATGACCTTTCCCTACCTTGAGTGTAGGACTAATAGGACCTTTCCCTTCCTTGAGGGTAGGACTAATAGGACCTTTCCCTACCGTGAGGGTAAGACTAATAGGACCTTTCCCTTCCTTGAGGGTTAGACATATATGACCTTTCCCTACCTTGAGTGTAGGACTAATAGGACCTTTCCCTTCCTTGAGGGTAGGACTAATAGGACCTTTCCCTACCGTGAGGGTAAGACTAATAGGACCTTTCCCTTCCTTGAGGGTTAGACATATATGACCTTTCCCTACCTTGAGTGTAGGACTAATAGGACCTTTCCCTTCCTTGAGGGTAGGACTAATAGGACCTTTCCCTACCGTGAGGGTAGGACTAATATGACCTTTCCCTTCCTTGAGTGTAGGACTAATAGGACCTTTCCCTTCCTTGAGTGTAGAACTAATAGGATCTTTCTCTACCTTGCGGGTAGGACTAATAGGACCTTTCCCTTCCTTGATGGTAGGACTAATAGGACCTTTCCCTTCCTTCAGGGAAGGTCTAATAGGACCTTTCCCTATCATGAGGCTAGGACTAATAGGATCTTTCCCTTCCTTGAGTGTAGAACTAATAGGATCTTTCTCTACCTTGAGGGTAGGACTAATAGGACATTTCCCTACCTTGAGGCTAGGTCTAATAGGACATTTCCCTACCTTGAGGGTAGGACTAATAGGACTTTTCCCTTCCTTGAGGGTAGGACTAATAGGACATTTCCCTACCTTGAGGGTAGGACTAATAGGACATTTCCCTACCTTGAGGCTAGGTCTAATAGGACATTTCCCTACCATAAGGGTATAGGACTAATAGGACCTTTCCCTACCATGAGGGTATAGGACTAATAGGACCTTTCCCTACCGTAAGGGAAGGATTAATAGGACCTTTCCCTACCTTGAGTGTAGGACTAAGAGGACCTTTCCCTACCTTGAGGGTAGGGCTATAGGACCTTTCCCTACCTTGCGGATAGGACTAATAGGACCTTTCCCTACCTTTAGGGAAGGGCTAATAGGACCTTTCCCTACCATAAGGGTATAGGACTAATAGGACCTTTCCCTTCCTTGAGGCTAGGTCTAATAGGACCTTTCCCTTCCTTGATGGCAGGACTAATAGGACCTTTCCCTTCCTTAAGGGTAGGTCTAATAGGACCTTTCCCTACCGTGAGGGTAAGACTAATAGGACCTTTCCCTTGCTTGAGTGTAGGACTAATAGGACCTTTCCCTACCGTGAGTGTAGGACTATTAGGACCGTTCCCTACCTTGCGGGTAGAACTAATAGAACCTTTCCCTATCATGAGGCTAGGACTAATAGGACCTTTCCCTTCCTTCAGGGTTAGACATATATGACCTTTCCCTACCTTGAGTGTAGGACTATTAGGACCTTTCCCTACCTTGTGGGTAGGACTAATAGGACCTTTCCCTTCCTTAAGGGTAGGTCTAATAGGACCTTTCCCTACCTTGCGTGTAGGACTAATAGGACCTTTCCCTATCGTGAGGGTAAGACTAATAGGACCTTTCCCTTGCTTGAGTGTAGGACTAATAGGACCTTTCCCTCCCTTGAGGGTTAGACTTATATGACCTTTCCCTACCTTGAGTGTAGGACTATTAGGACCTTTCCCTTCCTTGAGGGTTAGACTTATATGACCTTTCCCTACCTTGAGTGTAGGACTATTAGGACCTTTCCCTTCCTTGAGGGTTAGACGTATATGGCCTTTCCCTACCTTGAGTGTAGGACTATTAGGACCTTTCCCTACCTTGTGGGTTAGGCTAATAGGACCTTTCCCTACCTTGTGGGTTAGGCTAATAGGACCTTTCCCTACCTTGAGTGTAGGACTATTAGGACCTTTCCCTTCCTTGAGGGTAGGACTAACAGGACATTTCCCTACCTTGAGGGTAGTACTAATAGGACTTTTCCCTTCCTTGAGGGTAGGACTAAAAGGACCTTTCCCTACCTTGCGGGTAGGACTAATAGGACCTTTTCCTACCATGAGGGTAGGACTAATAGGACTTTTCCCTACCTTGAGGGTAGGACTAATCGGACCTTTCTCTACCTTGTTGGTAGGACTAATAGGGCCTTTCCCTGCCTTGAGGGTAGGGCTAATAGGACCTGTCCCTACCATAAGGGTGTAGGACTAATAGGACCTTTCCCTTCCTTGAGGCTAGGTCTAATAGGACCTTTCCCTACCTTGAGGATAGGACTAATAGGACCTTTCCCTACCGTAAGGGAAGGATTAATAGGACCTTTCCCTACCTTGCGTGTAGGACTAATAGGACCTTTCCCTTCCTTCAGGGTTAGACATATATGACCTTTCCCTACCTTGAGTGTAGGACTAATAGTACCTTTCCCTTCCTTGAGGGTAGAACTAATAGGACCTTTCCCTATCATGAGGCTAGGACTAATAGGACCTTTCCCTTCCTTAAGGGTAGGTCTAATAGGACCTTTCCCTATCATGAGGCTAGGACTAATAGCACTTTTCCCTTCCTTGAGGGTTAGACGTATATGACCTTTCCCTACCTTGTTGGTAGACTAATAGGACCTTTCCCTACCTTGAGGGTAGGGCTAATAGGACCTTTCCCTTCCTTGAGGGTAGGGTTAATAGGACCTTTCTCTACCTTGTTGGTAGGACTAATAGGACCTTTCCCTACCTTGAGGGTAGGGCTAATAGGACCTTTCCCTACCTTGCGGGTAGGACTAATAGGACCTTTCCCTACCATGAAGGAAGGATTAATAGGACCTTTCCCTACCTTGAGGGTAGGACAAATGAGGAGATTCTGATCTGTCTTACTGTTGTTAAGTTGAAGTGACTCGGAAGCAAGTAATATCAATTCTTTGAGTTATTTAAATATTCTTTTCGACATAAAAATAAATACATTTTGCCAGAAAGAAAAAAAATTATGAGAAAATATCTTTCAGATATTAAAATTTTAATCTGCATTTACATATTTGTGCTGATTTTGCAGGATTAAAAAGAACAACTTCAAATTAATAAAAAATAATTCTTTGATATTTAGATAGAATACTTTGTTGATTGTGCTGACGATTTTTGCATTCAATGATTAAAGGCAAAACAAAATAATTGTTGTTGTTCTGCTCTGGAAAATGTTTTGAGTGGGTTACCAAATCTTTTTATTTTCAAAATATTTTAAACAGTTTATAAACAGACATTGTTTAAGATTCAAACAATAGTCAAAAAGGATATAAGTTTGTTTATCAATGAATTGCATATATTTTACCTCAATTGCAGATGGCAAAGAAGAGTTCCTAGGGAAGGCTCTGGACATCTGGGCGATGGGAATTACACTGTATAGTCTCGTTTATGGACAGGTATTATCAATAAAACCTTGATTTCATAAAAAGTTCAAATAATAAAAAAGTGTAACTGGCTTCAGTATCAATTTCATTGCAATACCCATTTGGCTATTGAAAGTAACCACAGTATGCAGATTGTCCACTTTTTTTGCATCTTTTTTTTCTTCTAATAAATTACAACACGTTTTCTCTAAAGAAAGGGGAGGCAACTCTGTTAAACTTGAATGGTATTTTTGTTTGGCAGAATTTTCCTTTTATAAATTTCATCTATTCAAATATGGATAATAATTAATTGTAACTAGAACATCATGATCAGGAGCCCTGTGATTAATTAAAAACAACATTCCAGCCTTATAAGTCCCCCATCGGTTCCCGGCTTGCAATCCGTCCGTCATTCCATCCTTCCGTCTGTCCTAGAAGTTTGTCCGGGTATATTTTCTATACTATTTCACCTTGAGTAACCAGATTTGGTGTACACGGACATCTTTGTATGGCGGAATGCAGCGTGCAAAAATTAGTAACAAGATTTGGTGTACAAAGACATTTTGGGATGGCAGAGTGCAGAGTGCAACAATTTGGTCACTGTGACCTATGACTTGACCTTTGACCTTTACTTTTGAAAATGTTTGTCCGGGGCATATCTTCTATACTATATTTTTCACCTGGAGTAACCAGATTTGGTGTACAATGGCATCTTGGAATGATGGAGTGCAGAGTGCAAAAATTAGGTCACTGTGACCTATGACTTGAACTTTGACCTTTACTCTTTACTTTTGTAAAGGTTTGTCTGGGGCATATCTTCTTTACTATATCACCTGGAGTATCAAGATTTGGTGTACAAGGAAATCTTGGGATGGCGTAGTGCAAGAAGTAGGTTGCTATGACCTCACTGTGACCTATGCTTCCTGACATAGATGTACTGTTCGTTAAATAACAAAATAATCAGTGGTAGGGGACTATGGATTGCCTTGTTTTTAGCTCACCTGGCTCGAAGGGCCAAGTGAGCTTATGGCATGGTGCGGCGTCCGTCGTCCGTCCGGCGTCAACTTTTTACTT